CTCAAAATTAAAAAAAAAAAAATTGTAAAAAAAAAAAAAAAAAAAAAATACTGTCTAGGCCGGGCTCGGTGGCTCAGCCTGTAATCCCAGTGCTTTAGGAGGCCGAGGTGAGTGGATTGCCTGAGCCCATGGGTTCGAGACCCACCCGGGCAACTTGGCGGGACCTCATCTCTACAATAAACCAAAAATTAGCTGTGCGTGGTAGCACGCCCCTGTAGTTCTGGCTACTTGGAAGGCTGAGGCGGAAGATTGCCAGAGCCCGGCAGTTCGAGGCTGCGGTAGCCGGGAATGTGCCACTGCACTCCAGCCTGGGCGACAGAGTGAGACTCCAACTCAAAAACTAAAAATAAAAAAACTCTCACCTAAACTGTTTGCCCTTGAAGTATTAAAGAAATTCTGTCTGTTTAGGTCACATGGGATCATTGTTATAGCAGCTGAGCCTAGATCATTACTGACACAAAATCATACCTCTGACCATCACACCCTCTGCCCCTTCACCTGGCTACCTCCCACTTATCCTCCAGGATGTACCTCAGCTACCTCCATCACTAAGATGCCTCCTGTTCCCAGGAATAGAGATCCTCTTCGTTTTCCTCTGCTATAGCACTGGTCACACCGAGCAACCACCAAGGATGTCCATGTCGGCTTTCTCTAGATGATGAGTTCCTTGGAGGAACAGAACAAGGCATGGGGCAGGCCAGATGACAAGCAACAGAAAAGGTAATAAAAGTTGGTGAAGATCTGCAAAAATGGAATCCCTCCTACATTGCTGTTGGGAATGTAAAATGGTGTAGCTCTTTGGAAAACAGTCTGGCAATTTCTCATAAAGTTAAACATAGAACTACCATATGACTAAGAAATTTCACTTCTAGGTATATAGCCTCAAAAGAAATTAAAACTCATATCCACATAAAACCTTGTACATGAAAGTTCACAGCAGCACTATTTATAATAGCCAAAAGTGAAAACAACTCAAATGTCTACCAATTAATTAATGAATCGGCCAGGCTTGGTGGTTCAGTCTGTAATCCTTGCACTTTGGGAGGCCGAGGCAAGTGGATTGTCTGAGACCACGGGTTCAAGACCAGCCCGAGCAACTTAGTGAGACCTTGTCTCTACAATAAATCAAAAATTAATCAGGCGTGGTAGTGCGGGCCTGCAGTTCCAGCTACTTGGAAGGCTGAGGCAGAAGGATCATTGGAGCCCAGCAGGTTGACACTGAGATGACCATGAGCATGCCACTGCATTCCAGCTTGGGCAATGGAGTGAGACTCTAACTCAAAAAAAAAAAAGCCGGGCTCAGTGGCTCAGCCTGTAATCCCGTGCCTTTGGGAGGCTAAGGAGAGTGGATTGCCTGAGCCCGTGGATTCAAGACCCGCCTGGGCAGCGAGACCTCATCTCTACAATAAATAAAAAAGTTAGCCGGGGGTGGTAGTGCATGACTGTAATTCTGGCTACTCGGAAGGCTGAGGCGGAAGGATTACTGGAGCCCAGCAGGTTGAGTCTGTGGTGGCCGAGAACACAATGTGATATATCTATACAATGAAATATTATTCAGCAGTTAAAAGGAATGAAGTACTGACCATGTTACAACATGCATGAACCTTGAAAACATCAAACTATGTAAAAGTCACAAAGGATCATATATTATATAAGCCCATGTATATGAAATGTCCAGAGTAGGTAAATTCACAAATATAGAACGTAAATTAGCAGTTGCCTAGGGGTGAGGAGGTATTATAGGTTTGTGCCTCTACCCTCCCCATATCTGTGAACGTGAGTTTATTTGAAAATGGGGTCTTTGAAGATATTAAGATGTAAATTGAGATGAGGTCATACTAGAACAGGGTGAGTCCTTAATCTAATGACTTCTGTTCTCATAAGAAGAGACATAGAGTGGCTCACAGAGAAGAACACCATGTGAAAGCACACAAAGCCAGGACAATGTCACGTGACCACGGGAATTGAGATCAGAGCAATGTGTCTACAAATTAAGGAACACCAAGCACTGCCAGCAACACAAGAAGCTGAGAGAAAGTCATGGAATAGGTTCCTCCACAGAGCCTGCGGGGAGAGTCTGCTGATACCTCGAGTTTGAACTCCTAACCTCCAAAAGCAAAAGAATGCATTTCTGTTGTTTTAAGCTTCCCAATTTGTGGCACTTTGCAGGGCAGCCCAAGGAAATCAATGCAGGAGTCTAGGGGGATGGGGAGTGGCTGCTGAAGGGTAGAGGCTTTCTTCAGGGGGCAGAGCAATGTTCTAAAATTGATTATGGGCCAGTGTGGTAGCTCACACCTGTAATCCCAGCACTTTGGGAGGTGGAGGTGAGAGGATTGCCTGAGTCCAGGGGTTCGAGACCAGTCTGGGAAACTTGGTGGGACTGCATCTCTATGATAAATCAAAAAATTAGCCAGGTGTGGTGGCATGTGCCTGTAGTCTCAGCTACTTGGAAGGCTGAGGTGGATGGATTGCCTCAGCCCAGTAGGTCAAGGCTGCAATAGCCATGACCTGCCACAGCACTCCAGCCTGGGTGATAGAATGAGACCCTGACTTAAAAAAAAAAAATCAGCCGGGCTCGGTGGCTCAGCCTGTAATCCCGCGCCTTTGGGAG